ATGGGTCCCATGATGTTATTCAGGGTTTATGGTATTGCACTAAACATGATAAGTGAGAACCACAAGATCACTTTTGACTGTGATACACAATTCACTGGAGAGACCAACTGTTCATGCAAAGATGATTAGTGTCATGGGACTTTTTTAGTTAATACTTGGCAATACTTGAGCTCACTGCAATAGCAACAGTAGATGTGTACAATATTATTGTAGTGGAATGTATACTATAGTTGATTCTGTACACTTATGATTAATGCGATATCTTTTTTTTTCTTTTTTTTTCTTTTTTTGAGATGGAGTCTCGCTCTGTTACCCAGGCAGGAGTGCAGTCGTGTGATCTCAGCTCACTTCAACCTCTGCCTCCCGGGTTCAAGCGATTCTCCTGCCTCAGCCTCCCGAGCAGGTGGGATTACATGCGCGTGCCATCACACCCCACTAGTTTTTGTATTTTTTTTTTCTTTTTTTTTTTGAGACGGAGTCTCACTCTATCCCCCAGGCTGGAATGCAGTGGCGCGATCGCGGCTCACTACAAGTTACGCCTCCCAAGTTCAGGCCATTCTCCTGCCCCAGCCTCCTGAGTAGCTGGGACTGCAGGCGCCGGCCACTGCGCCCAGCTAATTTTTTGTATTGTTAGTAGAGACGGGGTTTCACCGTGTTAGCCAGGATGGTCTCGATCTCCTGACCTCGTGATCCACCCGTCTTGGCCTCCCAAAGTGCTGGAATTACAGGCGTAAGTCACTGCGCCCAGCCTTTTTTCTTTTTTTTTTTCAGACACGGAGTCTCACTTTGTCGCCCAGGCTGGAGTGCTGTGGCGTGATCTCGGCTTACTGCAAGCTCCGCCTCCCAGGTTCACGCCCTTCTCCTGCCTCAGCCTCCCAAGTAGCTGGGACTACAGGTGCCCACCACCACGCCCAGCTAATTTTTAGTAGAGGCGTGTATTTTTAGTAGAGGCGGGATTTCACCGTATTAGCCAGGATGGTCTCCATCTCCTGACCTCATGATCCGCCGCCTCAGCCTCCCAAAGTGCTGGGGTTACAGGCGTGAGCCACCACTCCCAGCCATAATACTATATCTTTATTCACATTGCTGTCATGTGCAAATGGTGCCATGTACAGCCTGTAAGTGTGTGCGTAAGTTTTAATAAATGTTAAGTTCTTACAATAGATTCGTATATATTTTATAGTAGTGAATGTTAAATATCTACATATATTTTATACATCATGATGAATCTAAATTTGCTTTGGTTTTCCAATAGGCTACATGGCTTGTCTGCAAGTTTTTTTTTTTTTAATTGTTGCAGATATCCAAAAAATTTTCCAATATGTTTATTGAAAAAAATCTGTATATAAATGAACCATGTAGTTCCAAACTGTTGTTCAAGGGACAAATGTGCAAGGATATGCCCTAAAATGCCTTGGGGGAAAAAAAAACTGCAGGAGAATTAATGAAACAAGAATGACAGGGCTAATGGTTATTGTTCTGCTTTTGAATGTTTCTGAAATTTTCCTTAATAGTCTTTAAATTATGTGCTGTCCCACCTTTGACTAGTGATAAGCCCCTTCATACTAATTTATTGTCCTTTTCACATATCTTCTTCTTTTTTAATTACTTTCTTGCTTTCTTGGGAAACAAGATGCCCCAGGTTCACTTTCTACCTTTACTGCTTGAGTAGTTATCTATTGCAGTGTAACAAATTACTCCAAAGTTAAAGATGTGTGAAATAATAAGCCTTTATTATCTCATACAGTTTCTGTAGATCAGAAATTTTGGAAGAGCTTAACTATTCTTTTGGCTTAGGGGCTTCCATAGGGTTGCAGTCAAGACGTTAGCCTGGGCTTTAGCATCTGAAGACTTGACTTGGAATTACAGAATCTACTTCCACAATGGCTTACAAGTTAGTGCTGACCATTGGTAGATCTTAGTGCTTCACCATGTGGGTTTCTCTATAGGACTGTTTGAATGTTTTCATGACATGGCTGCTGACTTTTCCTAGAGTGAATGATCCAAAAGAATAAGGTAGACACTGCCATGTCTTTTATAACATAACCTCAAAAATTACACAATATCATTTTCAAAATATCCTATTGGTTATACAAGTCAGCTTTATACATTGTAGGACGAGGTTGTATAAGGGCATGAATACAAGGAAGGTAGGGATCATTGAGATTTACTTGAATTTTAGATTCCACACTAGCACAAGAATCAGCCATTTCTCCAATGAGCCATGGTTCCTTTTAATACAGAGTAGTATTTAAAGATTAAAATACTGGTACTCAGTTAAGAGGATGTACTTACTGTTAATTGCTTATGATTTCTGCTAGGTACTTTTAGTAGACAGAGTAATAAATGTATATTTATGTATATACATTTAAATCATACATTCATTTTTATATTTGACCTAAATTTAGCCTAACAGGGGTTTTACCTCTTCAAATTTATGAGTTTTTTCCCAAACTTATTTTTTTGAAATAGGTAAAACATTTACATAGTTAAAAAGTCAAAAACATGTGAAAAGATGTAGTGAGAGAAGTCTTATTTATATACCTTTCTCTACACCTCATTCTTATTAGTAACCATTTTTATTCGTTTCTGGTTTATTCTTCAGGTGTTTCATTTTGCACAAATAGGTAAAGGCATGTACACATACAGATATATGTATTCATATTTCCCATTCCACTCACCCCCTAATCTTTTACTAAAGATAGTATACTTTATACACTATTCTATACCTTTCTTTTTTTTAGCAGTGTATCCTGGAAATCAGTTCATATCTTTATTTGGAGGTCTTCATTTTCTTCTGGTTGTATAGTGTCTATTAGATGGATGCACTACTGAAAGTTCACCTATGCACAGTCTTTTGGACTGTTGCTAGTCTTTTGCTACTAGAAATAATGAATAATCAGCTGGACATGGTGGCTCACGCCTGTAATCCCAACACTTTAGGAGGCCGAGGTGGGCAGATCACGAGGTCGGGAGATTGAGACCATCCTGGCCAACATGAAACCCCGTCTCTACTAAAAATACAAAAATTAGCTGGGTATGGTGGTGCGTGCCTGTAATCCCAGCTACTCGGGAGGCTGAGACAGGAGAATCTCTTGAACCAGCGAGTCAGAGGTTGCAGTGAGCTGAGATTGCAGTACTGCACTCCAGCCTGGCGACAGAGCGAGACTCCGTCTCAGAAAAAAAAAAAAAGAATGAATAATCGTATGCATATCTCATTACTTGTACCAGGTGTGTTGGTGAGATAGAATTGGTACTGCTAGGTCAGAGGAAAAATATGTGTACAATTTTGTTAGATGTTGGCAAATTCCTTCTTCATAGGTGTCATACCATTTTTGTTATCCCCTCAGAGGTATTTTGAGGACTAGATGAGTTCAAGTGTGTAGCATGTCTAACAAAATGACCACTCAGGCTGGGTGCAGTGGCTCACGCCTGTAATCCCAGCATTTTGAAAGGCCGAAGTGGGCGGATCACTTGCGGTCAGGAGTTAGACCAGCCTGGCCAATATGGGGAAAACCCGTCTGTACCAAAAATACAAAACTTAGCCGGACATAGTGGTACGCACCTGTAGTCCCAGCTGCTTGGGCGGCTAAGGCAGGAGAATCGCTCAAACCCAGGAAGCAAAGTGGAGGTTGCCGTGAGCCAATATCGCACCATTGCACTCCAGCCTGGGTGTCACAACGAGACTTCGTCTCAAAAATAAATAAATAAATAAAAAGATCGTGCCATCAAAAATAGCATTTCCCTGAAATCAGTATCCTTAGACGTTTCATACATTGTCAAATGAATTTCAAGACTTTTCAATATCTTGAATACATTCCTAGACATACATGTAGTTCCGTTAATTGCTTTGTGCAGAGCTAAACACAGTGGTTGGTAGATCATTCACAGGTGATTATTTTAAATGCTTAAAAGATTGAACAACAAGGTTGGGCGTGGTGGATCACTTGAAGTTAGGAGTTTGAGACCAGCCTCGTCAACATGGTAAAACCTCATCTCTACAAAAATACAAAAATTAGCCAGGCATGGTGGCACAGACCCATAGTACCAGCTACTCAGGAGGCTGACGCAGGAGAATCACTTGAACCCAGGAGGCAGAGGTTGCAGGGAGCCGAGATCGTGCCACTGCACTCCAGCCTGGGTGACAGAGCAAGACTCTGTCTCAAAAATAAAAATAAAAAAAAAAAAGACTGAACAACAAATAGGCAGTGCTATTACTTCTTGCACATATTCTTAAACATTGGGGTTCACATTTATAAAGTGGCAATTTATATTGGAATGTTCCTGTTCTGTAAAACAATTCGACATTATGATGGCAAAGCCCTTCAAGATAATAAAATGCAGAATACTTAGGGGAAATTATTATGTTAAACTGAGTTTGCATTTTAATATTTTATTTTTGGAGTCACCTCTGGTTTCACAAGTTGGATACAGGCTAAAGTGATGAGCATTGTCAGCTTAAATTTGTTCTATGAGCACAAACTATACTCTTTTTTGTTGATTGCTGTATAACAGATTTATGAGCTTAGTTACAAGGAGACTCAAATGTAAATGAATCCAGAGATATTATTAGTGTATGCTTTAAAAATAAGTGAGAATATATTAACTTCTGTTGGTATTTAAAAAGCATTACTTTAAAAAGTGTATGTATATTTAACATAGGAAGATCACTGTTAACACGTTGAGATTAAAACCCTAGAAAAATTGGGTTTGATTGGTTTCAGTATTTTAATAATGGTAACTATGGTTTTATTAAAATGTGTATATTTTTATTTGACATAAACAGATAGCAATTCGCCCAAACTTTAGCTGTTTGATAAGGTAGTAGTGCATGTTATGTAAAAATTTGCATAAATTTTCATGTATTTGTTTCAGTCATTAAGCCTCTCTTAAATTTTTGGTTATATTATTTGCCAGTGCTTCATCAATATATATATGTAACATTTTGGATTTATAATTTAGCACAACACCCTTTAATTCTTTTCCGACTTTATTTCTAGGTGCTAACTGCCAAAGAAAGGAAAACTCAAATTGATGATAGAAACAAATTGACTGAACATTTTATTATTACACTTCCTATGTTACTGTCAAAGGTACAGTTTCATTTACAGTTTTGTTATGTCACTGAGTTTGCTTTCATTGTACTATTAAAGTAGTTACTGTATTTTTCTTTGCTTCTTCTCCTTCTAGTATTCTGCAGATGCAGAGAAGGTAGCAAACTTGCTACAGATCCCACAGTATTTTGATTTAGAAATCTACAGCACAGGTAGAATGGAAAAGGTAATGATACTGTGAAATTGAAATTCAGCTATTATAGTTTTATTAACTGAATTATTTTCATGTACTCTTATAGGCTTATTTGTTATTTGACAGATGCTAATTTTTTATTTTTTATTAATCTAAATATTACAGTTTTTCTTTTTTTGTCTTCTCAGCATCTGGATGCTTTATTAAAACAGATTAAGTTTGTTGTGGAGAAACATGTAGAATCAGATGTTCTAGAAGCCTGCAGTAAAACCTATAGCATCTTATGCAGTGAAGAATATACCATCCAGAACAGAGTTGACATAGCTCGAAGCCAGCTGATTGATGAGTTTGTAGATCGATTCAATCATTCTGTGGAAGACCTATTGCAAGAGGTCTGTTCTAAAGTTAATGTGTACATATAATAATATAGACTAAGAATTTAAGATAGCTGAGTGTGTAAAGCATTTTCATTTTAAAATGAAATCGAGTAGAATTGTCTGCCCCTTCCAAAACTTAGCAACCTTATTATAATTGTGTATTCTATAAAGATCAGCCTTGGTTATGCCTTATTTTTATTCTAAAAATCTGTCATAAAAACTAGAATTTTTTTTCTCTTTCAAGAATTTTTTTTTTTTTTTTTTTTTTTTTTTGAGACAGAGTCTTGCTTTGTCACCCAGGCTAGAATGCAGTGGCACGATCTCAGCTCATTGCTCACCGCAACTTCTGCCTCCCAGGTTCAAGTGATTCTCCTGCCTCAGCCTCTGGAGTAGCTGGGATTACAGGCACCTGTCACCACGCTCAGCTAATTTTTTTATTTTTAGTAGAAACGGGCTTTCACCAGGTTGGCCAGGCTGGTGTTGAACCCCTGATCTCAAGTGATCTGCCCACCTCAGCCTCCCAAAGTGCTGGGATTACAGGCACGAGCCACCACATCCAGCAAAAAAAAGTCTCTTTAAAGTCTAATTTTTCCTAACTCATTTTCTATTTCTGGGACCTTATTTACATTTTAATATTGCTGAATTATTGTGATATGCTAATGAATAGAGCATGCAAATTAAGTCTGCTTTTAAGGATGCCTGCTTATCAATGGTATGCCCAAGATATCAGCAAGCATCTCCCAATTGCTTATTTTCTAATTATTTCTGTGACTTCTTCCTCTTTCCCTCTCTCTCATCAATCTATATAAGGCAATCTGGGACTTCCATAGTTCTCTGTGCTCTAATGACCACGTAACTGATTTATAAAAGACTCTTTCCTACTATTGGAACTCAACCATTATGATTTTTCATTCATTATGATTTTCAAGCTACAAAAGTGACTGACAATAAAATATTGGAAATAATCATTGAAAGTCTTTCAAGTACATACCTTTCACTTAGAAATTTTAAAGGGTTTTATCTTATAGTATTAATCAGAAAGCTTTTCAAAGTCATGTTTATCACAACATTTAAAATGCAGAAATTATTTCTAGGTTGTTAGAGTTATGGGTGTTTTTGCCTTTTTGCTTATTTGTATTATGGATCTACAATGAATATATACTGTTTATATAATTTAAAAGAATAGGCAGTAAATAGTAATATACTATAATGTGAGTAAAGTTGTGGTAATGATGTGATGTTTCCTTTTTTTTATAGGGAGAAGAAGCTGATGATGATGATATTTACAATGTTCTTTCTACATTAAAGCGGTTAACTTCTTTTCACAAGTACGTTATTTTATTTAAAGTAAAGGCAACGAGGTGGCTCATGCCTGTAACCCCAACACTTTGAGAGGCCAAGGTGGGCAGATTGCTTGAAGCCAGGAATTGGAGACCAGCCTGGCAAAACCCTGTCTGTACAAAAAACACAAAAATTGGGCATGAGAGTGTGCACCTGTGGTCTCAGCTGCTCAGGAGGCTGAGGCAGGAGACGCAGGAGAATCGCTTGAACCCAGGAGGTGGGGGTTGCAGTGAGCCGCGATCGCGCCTCTGCACTCCAGCCTGGGCAACAGGCTGTCTCAAAAAATAAATAAAGTAAATGTAGTAACCCAAGTGTGCAGGCACAGAGCTATGATCCCAGCCACTGAGGAGGTTGAGGAAGGAAGATCACTTGAGCCCAGGAGTTCAAGGCTGCGCTTGATCATGGCACTGGCCCATGATAGTACCTGTGAATAGCCACTGCACTTCAGCATGGGCAGTATGGTGAGATCTGATCTCAATAACAACAGAAAGATAAAATAGATTCAGTGAATGACATGTAACAGCCAGCACACAGTGACTGACTGTTGTGTTTGACATTAATAACAATGGGAATTTTAGGCCTGGTGTGATGACTCACACCTATAATCCCAGCATTTTGGGAAGCCAAGGGAGGTGGATTGCTTGAGCCCCACGAGTTTGAGACCAGCCTGGGCAATAGGCAGATCCTATCTCAATTAAAATAGATGTTTTTTTAAAAATGGAAATTTTAGAGGAATATTGAGATGTTTTTCCTTTATTCGGATTTATCTTGATGATTATATAATTTATGTTTTGCTATCACTGAACTACCTTTTTTTTTTTTTTTTTGACACAGTCTCACTCTCTTGCCCAGACTGGAATGTAGTGGTGCCATCTCGGATCACTGCAACCTCTGCCTCCCAGGTTTAAGTGATTCTTATGCCTTAGCCTCTCAAGTAGCTGGGACCACAGGTGTGCACCACCATGCTCAGCTACTTTTTATATTTTTAATGGAGATGGGTTTCACCATGTTGGCTAGGCTGGTCTTGAACTCCTGACCTCAAGTGATCCACTGGCACTTGACCTCCCAAAGTGCTGGGATTACAGACGTAAGTCACTGTGCCTGGCCTGTCATTTAATTACTTAAGGTATAAAATGTATTTACTATAATGATTTAGCTGTCATTTAATGTAATTAATATATACTGTAAAAGTTTAAGCCCATGAGTATTTAACAAATTAGACAGGCTTATTTCATCAGCTAGAGTGCTACAGGTAATCCCAGCACTCTGGAAGGCCGAGGCAGGTGGATCATCTGAGGTCAGGAGTTCAAGACCACCCTGGCCATGGTGAAACCCCGTCTCAACTAAAAATACAAAAAATTAGCCGGGCGTGGTGGTGTGCGCCTGTAATCCCAGCTACTCGGGAGGTCTGAGGCAGGAGAATTGCACGAACCCAGGAGGCAGAGGTTGCAGTGAGCAGAGATCGTACCATTGTACTCCAGCCTGGGCAACAAGAGCAAAACTCCATCTCAGAAAAAAATAAAAAGAAAGAAAGAAAATCTGGAGGACAGTTGGGCTTATATTGGTCAAAGGATATAAAATTTCAGTTAGGAGTAATAAATTCAACCCATCTGTTGTACAACATGGTGACTATAGTTAAAAACAATGTGTTATATTCTTGAAAATTGCCAAGAGAGTAGATTTTAATATTTTTATTTTTTCAAAAAAAATTTTTGTGACAGAGTCTTGCTTTCTCACCCAGGCTGGAGTGCAGTGGCACAGTCATGGCTCACTACAGCCTCAACTTCCTGTGTACAAGGGATCCTCCTACCTCAGTCTCCCAAGTAACTGGAACTACAGGAACATGCTACCACACTGGGCTAATTTTTTTTATTTTTTCTAGAGACAGGGTTTCGCCATGTTGCCCAGGCTAGTCTTAAATTCTCGGGCTTAAGCAGTTTTCCTCCCTCGGCCTCCTAAAGCGCTGGGATTACAGGCATGAGCCACTGCACCCAACTAAGAGTGGATTTTAAGTGTTCTCACCACAAGAAAGAGATGATAAGTGTGTGAAGTAATCGATATGTTAATTAGCTCAATTTAGTCATTCCACAGTTTATACATATTTCAAAGCAACATGCTGTATACAATAAGTATATACTAATTTTTATTTGTTAACATAAAGGACAAAAATAAATAAGATTTTCAGGAAAGTCATGAGTTACTCTTGTGAGCTTTTTTCCTGAATTGTTCCTGTATGCTTGGTTATTGTGTTCTTACTATGTCAGTAGAACAGGTGAATTTGAATAAGGAAGAAAGATTCAGATCACTGAAATTTGTGTTGTCAAATTGTAATTTTCACTTCCCTTGTAATGAGATATGCCGGTCTTCTCCATGAAGAAAGGACAAAAAGAACTTTGTTGTCCAAAGAGAGTTTGAATATAGTTTTTACACTGATCAGTACTTCAAAATTAAAAATAATTTTCCAAAATCTAAGTCTTTATATACAAGTAAATTTTTTTAGAATTCCCTAGAAAAGCAAACTTTTATTAAAAGAAAAAAAACTGTCATTTGAAAACAGAAGTTACTAGTGTCAGAATGACTATTTTTAGTAGTAGAGCTCATGAGAATATAAAAATTTACCATTATCACATTCGTAAGTCCTCAGCCCAAGTAAATAGCTATAGTGCAGTTTTTGAGCTTTCCCATTTTTCCTTTCCTTTGTCTTTATCTCCATTTTGGGAATACAGATCTCTCTTTCAAAAATATGCGTGTGGTTTTATTTTTAAATTGTAAATGGAGTTCTTTAAAATGTACTTTTAAATAGACCTGACGCGGTGGCTCACACCTGTAATCCCAGCATTTTGGGAGGCCAAGGCGGGTGGATCTCTTGAGTCGAGGAGTTCAAGACCAGCCTGGCCAACATGGTGAAACCCCATCTCTACAAAAATATAAAAATTAGCCAGGTGTCATGGCACACGCCTGTAGTCCCAGCTACTCAGGAGGCTGAGGCATGAGAATCTCTTGAACCCAGGAGGCAGAGATTGCAGTGAGCCGAGATCTTGCCACTGTACTCCAGCCTAGGCGACAGAGCGAGACCCTGTCTTAAAAAAAGTAAAAATAAAACAAAAAAGGTACTTTTATATATACAATAAAGGGAGTTTATCCATATATGGAATAGAATGTGAGCTTAAACCACGTGGTAGAAACTTTGAGTTAAATATGTGAGGTTTTGTTTTTGTTGATTTCTTTAATAAATTCTTAGAATCATCTCTTTTTATTTCCTTTTCCTTTCTACCTTTCTTTCACATTTGAGCATTTAATGAGCATTCCCTTTATGGAAATGAAAAAAATTTTTTTTTTTTTTCCTGAGACAGAGTCTTGCTCAGTTACCCACACTGGAGTGCAGTGGTGCAATCTTGTTTCACTGCTCTGTGTCCTGGGTTCAAGTGATTCTCCTGCCTCGGCCTCCCAAGTAGCTGGGACTACAGGCATGCACCACCATGCCCAACTAATTTTTGTGTGTGTATTTTTAGTAGAGACGGGGTTTCACCATGTTGGCCAGGCTGGTCTCAAACTCCTGACCTCAAGTAATTTGCCAGCTGTGGCCTCCTAAAGTGCTGGAATTACAGGCGTGAGCCACTGTGCCCAACCGAAATGAAATTATTTTATTTTTCCACTCACTTGAACTGAGCTCAAATTTAAATTTCTTTCCATTCTAGAATAAAACAAATGCATTTTTGTTTATTTCAGTGCACATGATCTCACAAAATGGGATCTCTTTGGTAATTGCTACAGATTATTGAAGACTGGAATTGAACATGGAGCCATGCCAGAACAGGTAGGAGTTTATTGATATTCCTTCTGTATGACTCTAGAAAGTTAAGTTTTTCTGAAGTCATATGATTATCAGAAGCCTTTTATAGAAAATAGTTGATAATTCTTAGGGCAGCTGCCTCTTTTGAGAGAATTATTGCTATAGTAATTGAATATTACTGATAAGTATATTATATCGGCTTATGTGTTAGAGTAGAAAAAATAGAAAACTTTTGCTATAACATACCGTAAAAATGTTAATGTTAAGGTAGACTTTGCTCTCTTAGGAAAAATACCATTAATATCTATGGCAGCAATTTTAAAACTTTCAGTTTATTCATTATGTAATGAAAATTGATGATGGGTATATTCCAGCCCTGTTCTAGGTATTAATCACATTAAGCATGGCTTAGTTTTTATATTAGAACCATAAATTAACATGGCAGCCTTTAATAGACTTTAGACCTTTGTACACTCATATATACAAGTTAGAGTAGAAGGGGCAGGAATTCAACAAATTTTGCCTAATCTGAAAAAGACTTCGGTAGAATAATTACTCTACTTGATTCAGTATGAGAAAGGAAGGAGTTATTCTGTACACTGTAGACATTCATGTAGACCAAAATATCAACTCCATCATTAAGTGTAGGTAGTATTTAGGGGTTATCTCATTCATTTCCATTTGGTAATATAGAATGCTTAGATGATACTTTATTGCTCTAAAGCAGTAAGAATTTCAACAGATAAAATAATAATCTTATATTAAAAGTTAATCATGGGCTGAGCGCAGTGGTTCATGCCTATAATCCCAGCCCTTTGGGAGGTCAAGGCAGGGTGAATCACCTGAGGTCAGAAGTTCGAGACCAACCTGGCCAACATGGTGAAACCCCATCTCTACTAAAAATTTAAAAATTAGCTAGATGCAGTGGCATGCGCCTGTAGTCCCCAGCTACTTGGGAGGCTGAAGCTGGAGAATCGCTTAAACCTGGGAGGCAGAGGTTGCAGTGAGCCAAGATGATGCCACTGCACTTCAGCCTTGGCGACAGAGTGAGACTCTGTCTCAAAAAAAAAAAAAAAAATAGTTAATTATGAAAACAGTACTTTATTATTGCTGTGATTAATTCATTTGAATTGCATAACATTAGTCATTTTCTTGGTCCCCACAAATGTCCCTGATTATGTTAGGCGTTCTTATTGTAGTTTGTGAAAAGACACTAAATACTTTACCCTGTCTTTTTTAAAATGTGTTGCTGACACCAACTTCCCATCCTCTCTTTATCTCAGACCAGCAGCCTAAATAAAATTCACTCATATTTTCAAGCCATGCTTCTAATTTGAAAGTGAATGAGAGAGTTAAGATATTCTTTTTATTCTTTTCTCTTTCTCCAGGTAGAGAATAAGTGTACATCTCTGTTTCATCTACTGTATCAAAATTTTTAGACTTACCATACCATCATTATTGTCCTAGTACTGACTCATGACAGCTTCACAATGTTGTCTTCTATTGTTATTTTTGTTTTCTGTTGCTTATGTTCATTGCATATGTCTTATTTCCTCCATTTTTATTGTTGGATAAAAGAGCATACTTATGTGACATTAAAAGTTTTGTGGCTTTAGGGGCTGGGCGCGGTGGCTCACACCTGTAATCCCAGCACTTTGGGAGGCCAAGGTGGGCGGATCACAAGGCCAGGAGTTCAAGACCAGCCTGGCCAATATGGCGAAACCCTGTCTCTACTAAAAATACAAAAATTAGCCGGGCACGGTGGCGGGCGCCTGTAGTCCCAGCTACTCGGGAGGGTGAGGCAGGAGAATCGCTTGAAGCCAGCAGGCAGAGGTTGCAATGAGCCGAGATTGCACCACTGCACTCCAGCCTGGGTGACAGAGCGAGAGACTCCATCTCAAAAAAAAAAGGTTTTGTGGCTTTAAGTTTGTTAATTTCTTAAACACATATTTTTAACCATGTGTATGAAGTTTGAGTGCATGACTCAAATATGACTAGATTGTACTCTTGTTCATTTTAGCAGCTCTGATAAATATCTCTTAAGATACTGTTGAAAATACAGAAATTCTATATTTAACCACTTCTTTTTTGTTTGTTTGAGATGGAGTCTCACTCTGTCACACAGGCTGGAGTGCAGTGGCGTGGTCTCTGCTCACTGTGACCTCTACCTCCTGGGTTCAAGCGATTCTTCCGCCTTGTCCTCCTGAGTAGCTGGAATTATAGGCCTGCGTCACCACGCTGGGCTAGTTTTTGTAGTTTTAGTGGAGACGAGGTTTCCCCATGTTGGCCAGGCTGGTCTTGAACTCCCGACCTCAAGTGACCTGCTTGCCTTGGCTTCGCAAAGTGTTGGGATTTCGGGCATGAGCCACTGCACCCAACCCTCAACCACTTCTTAATACAACCATGCAAGCTCACTTTTTAAGGTTCCAGCTGTGTGCTTACAATAAGAACTCAGAGAAAATACCTTTTAGAGCAGGGGTGCTGAAGAGCTACCAAAATGTTTATTACTGTTGACCCTCAGTTGTTCTTAATGTTTTGAAGATACCTTAAAACTTTCTAGCTGTTTGGGGAGACTACATTGTCTATATGCTTGACTTTTTTTTTTTTTTTTTTTTTTTTTTAATGATAACCAGTTCAACTAGAAGTTCCTAGTGCCTTCCTTTACTGAGTTGTTACACAGGCATACCTCATTTTAGTGTGCTTTGCTTTATTGCGTGGTTTTTTTCAAATTGAAGGTTTGCGGCAACCCTGCATCAAGCAAGGCTATCAGTGCCATTTTCCCAAAAGCATATGCCGACTTAGTGTTTCTGTGTCACATTTTGGTAAATCTTGGTTATTTCAGACTTTTTTGTTAGTATTAAATCTGTTATGGTGATTGGTGATCAGCAATCTTTGATGTTTCTATTGTAATTGTTTTGGGGCACTATGAACTGTTCCCACATAAGATGCTGGACTTAATCCATTAATGTTGTGTGTGTTTTGACTGCTCCATGACAGGCCCTTCCCTAATCCCTTTCCCTCGCAGGCTCCCTATTCCCTGAGACAAAACAATATTGAAATTAGGCCACTTAATAACTCTACAGTGTTTCTTAATGTTCAAGTGGAAGAGTCACACTTCTCTCATGATTCATGACTGCTAACACAGCAAAAGGAATTTTTACTTTCAAGCCTTAATTATTTAAGAAAAAAACATTGCGTTAAGTCTTATGGCTGCCATAGAAAGTGACTCCGCTGATGCGTCTGAGAAACTTTTGGGAAGGATTCACCATTCTAGACGCCATTAAGAAATTCGTGATTCATGGGAGGAGGTCCAACTATCAGCATTAACAGGAGTTTGGAAGAAGTTTATATCAGTGTTCATGGATGACTTTGAGGGGTTAAGACAAGTAAAGAAAGTCACTCAGATGTAGTGGAGATAGCAAGAGAACTAGAATTAGAAGTGGAGCCTGAGTTGCTGCAATCTCCTGCTCAAACTTGAAGAGATGAGGAGTTGCTTCTTATGGATAAGCAATGAAAGAGATGGCATTTACTCCTAGTGAAGGTGCTGTGAACATTGTTAAAATGACAACGAAGAATTTAGGATATTACATAAATGTAGTTGATAAAGCAGTGATAAGGGTGTGAGAGGGTTGTCTCCAGTTTTGAAAGAAGGTCTGTGAAGAAAATGTTGTCAAACAGCATCAGTGCTGCAGAGAAATCTTTTATGAAAGGAAGAATCTGTTGATACAGCAAACTTCACTGCCATCTTGAGAAATTGCCATAGCCACACCAACCTTCAACAACCACCCTGTTAAGTCAGCAGCCATTAACATTTGAAGCAAGATCCTCCACCACTGAAAAAATTATGACTCACTGAAGAGTCAGGTGATCATTAGCATTTTGTAGCCATGAAGTATTATATTTTTTACTTAAGCTGTGTACATTGTTTTTTCAGACATAATGCTATTGCACACTTTTATATGCATTGCGAAACCAAAGGTTTTGTGACTTGCTTTATTACAAAATTTGCTTTTTTGTGATGTCTGGGAGTAAACTTGTGCTATATCCAGGGTACGCCTGTGTATTTGTGTTATTTTTTTCCCCTCTTAGTGATTTATCTTTTATCATACCAGTACTGTTTTAACCATTATAGTTTTAGAATATGTGGAAGACTGGCCAGGCATGGTGGCGCATGCCTGTAATCCAAGCCTTTTGGGAGGCTGAGGCAGGCAGATCACATAAGGACAGAAGTTCGAGACCAGCCTGGCCAATATGGCAAAATGCTGTCTCTACTAAAAATACGAAATTAGCCGGGCATGGTGGCACGTGTCTGTTATCCCAGCTACTTGGGAGGCTGAGGCAGGAGAATCGCTTGAACCCAGGAGGCAGAGGTTGCAGTGAGCTGAGATCACACCATTACACTCCAGCCTGGGCAACTAACAAAACTCCCATCTCAAAAAAAATTTTTTTTTAATATCTAAAAAGTAAAAAATATGTGGCAGACCAAAAAGAAATTACCTATTCTAATAATTTTTTAAAAATCAAATTATAGAAATGTTACAGAAAATTCACCTAATCCATTTTCAATATTTTCCCACATTTCTGCACTTTATATTATTTTATATTATATTATATTATTTATTATTTACATTTCTGCATATATATTATTATATATGATAATCATATATAATATATGTATATAATTTTCATATATACATATATGTATATAATATGTGTATATATATTATATAATATATAAATATACATATACTATATAATTATTATATAATATACATATTTTATATATGTATATATGGATATATACATTATACAAATATATAGTATATTATAAATACAATGTGTGTGTTACATATGTTAATATGCATATGCAAAATGTATATTAGGTCAGGCATGGTGGCTCATACCTGTAATCCCAGCACTTTGTAGACCAAGGTGGGTAGATCACTTGAGGTCAGGAGTTTGAGACCAGCCTGGCCTACATGGTAAAATCCTGTCTCTACTAAAACTACAAAAATTAGCCAGGT